ATGAATTTTATTGAAGAATCTATTTCCATATATCAAAATCTAATTGTTTCATCTTGGTTGTAACTTATAATACAATTAGACAAACAGAATTAAATAGATATAGGTTTAAAATTATCTAAAGTAATTGTATCTATCATCTTTTGGTCTCCACTTATTTCATAATACTCAATACAATTATCTGAAGCAATAAAAATATACAAAAAATCTGCATTTTCTTATGGATTTTTGAACTATTAAATTTTTACTTCTGTTAAACAATTACAATTTTTAAATATTTTATCTCTTTGAAGAAGATGTAAAATTCTAAGTTTATTATAAAATATTATGTGATCTTTTTTGAACAATATTAAATTATGTTAACTTAAATAATATCTTGGTAATTAGCCATTAACCTTTAAAGAAGGTAATGAATTAATTTTTTTATATTATTCATTAATTTTACACCAAATATTTACTTGATCCTAACTTGTTGAAATTAAAAAATCTTTATTAATAAAAGTATTATCTGATTAAATTTAAATTATCTAACTTTTATGAACATTTTTTAAAAGTGGCTTTATAGATTTACTTAAAATATCCCATTAAAATATTGATCCATCTTCAGTTCCTAATAGTACTTCATCGTCCCTATAAAGATTAAAAGTTGTTAACGGAAAGTCTTTTTTATCTACGATAATTTATTAAATCCATTCAGATTTTTACTTAATCTGATTTATTAAATCTAATACTTAAAAACAATTGTATCTATAATTAAGAGAAATAATTTTATCCTAATTATTATAAAAACTCAATGGATAATTAAAGCGATAAGGTGTAGAAATTAATAATTTTATATCTTCTTCATCAATTAGATAAATTGAAATAATACTCATACTCTCTTCATAATTGAATAATAATAAAATTTTACTAGAATCAGACGAGAAAATACAACTTTCAACATACCCTTCTAAATTTAATTCCTTTTTTATTTTTTTAGTTTATAAATTCCATATACAAACCTTTTTCTTTCCCCAAGAAACAAGGATTTTATTATTTGGTGAAAATCTAATTCCTTCTATAATTTCACTACTTTTAGATTTTAAAATTTCAACATTTTACTAAAGTATTTTCCTCCATTCTACTTATTTTAAGCTTGCATTGTTAAAATTGCAATTAAATATTTAAACATCTGTAAATTTTGATTTATCTAAAGTACTACCCAAAAAAATTTAGGCCAGAAATATTTGTATCTTCTAATTAAATTCCTCTTAGATCTTCTCCTACTAGTTCCATTCCTAAATAATTGATCATAAAAATGCTATTAGATGCAGCTCTAATACAATTGTTATTAGTTGAAAGCTGTAATATCTATATCAAAGTTTCCTTAATATCATCATAATTCTCTAACTCCACTTTTATCATATTTAATACTCCATTAAATTTAGAAGATGATAAATTAAACTCATATTAATTAAATGAACTCGTTTCAATATTTTTTTCAACTGATCTATTTAAAAAGCACTTTTAAAATCTTTAATAAGTCTCAAAATATATTTTCCTACAAAAAACTCTTGAATTTCTTTATGCTAAAAATAATAGCAACTATTTTCAAGCTTAATTAAAGCACATCTAAGGAAATCTTTTTTTGTATCAAAATAATCATATATAAATTTAAAATGTGTTTTACCTTCTTTTTAAAGCTTTTTTTATGGAATATTAGTTAATTCAAAACTACTCATATATACAGCTAACCTCATTTGAAATTCATTTAACTGCCATTTGAAATCTTATTCAGAATTTTTTGCCTTAAATTATTCACTTTCATGATATAGAGCTACATATAATTTATAAAATTAGTATAAAGTATATCCTACAGGCTTTTTAATTATTTCTTTATCTTAATTTGAAAGCTAAGTTACTTAATTATATAATAATTCTACTGAATAATCTTCAAAAAAATTTAAATCTTCTAATATGGTAATTAAATTATCAACATCCTCCTGATCATCAATTTATTAATCCATTTTATTAGATTTAATTTATCAAGTTTTTAATTTTTATAGTCTTAAACGAAATCGAGTTTTTTTGTTAATAGGCAATTTATCTATACCTAATAAGACAGATAAAATGATTTTAAAACTTTAAGGGGTTTTAATCAAATCTTTAATTTAATTATTTGTTATTTACTTCATTATCTAACTTTGACTCTAAATTTTTTTAAAATCATCCCTAAATTCTTCTTATTCATCTTTAAATGATTTATCTTCACAATCTAATATCGTTTACAACTTATAAAACAAATTTGATAAGAGCTCATCAGAAATAATCTATTTAGTTTTATTTTATTCTGGATACCTTAGAAGTTTTTAAATATCTTCTAACAAAAAAATCTCCCAAATTTCCTTGAAATTATTAATAGAAATTATAGAATTTTACTTTTAAGAATTTTGTATAAACTTATCAGAGTTACAATACAATTTTTATCTAATACCTTAAATATAATATTATTCAAGATATTAATTTATTTATGGTTCTTCAAAAAATTTTATTTCAACTTAAGTAAAAGTTTTTTCTTTATTTCCTAAAAATTATTAAGTATATTCTTCATAATTTAGTGTTTCTATTCTTGATGTATAGATTACTTTGACATTTTTGCCTAGTTAAGGCCTGAAAAGTTCATTAGATGATATTATATTTAATTTCTAATCTATATATTTTTACTTCAATTCATCATAACCATCAAATAATAGTACTAAGTTTTCTTAGCCTTTAATAACATCTTAATAAAATGATTTCCTTTCATATTTATCAAATGAAAATTCAGCCAATTTTAAGATTTTTTTCCAAATATTGTCGCCAGGCTTTTTAATACGGTTCAATTATACATATAAAGGAATCCATTTTTTTAATTTAGATTTTGAATCATACAAATTTCATAAAAAAAATTAAAGTCTTTTTAAAATTATACTTTTCCCTGATCCTGCTAATCCTTTTATTAATAGAACTTCATTTATATTAGTGGTGTTCCATAAAAAATTATTAATTTCAGCCTTCTATTGAATTTGATCATTACAATTAAAATCAAATTCATCAAATAAATCATTTTCTATATTATCATTTTTCTTGACTTTCAAAGGAATATTGATTTGATTAAAATATTATTATTGCTCATCATTTTATTACTAAAATTTATAATTCTATAACATTTCTTCTTTATGCTCCATAAGCCTTTCTGTATATAATTTATTTAAATTCTTCTGGCAATCTTTTTCATTAATTAAATTCTTAAAATTCGCTTATACAATTTAAAAGTCTTTTTTTTTTTAAGAAAAATTGATTGTTATCTTCTTTTTCTATAAGATCAATATAAACTTAAGTTACTAATTATAATTTTTCATTATCTGTAGTGTTAATTATTTTAATAAAACTAAACTTTATAAATTGTTTAATCAGCTTATCTTACTAGATCTTAATATAATGTTCCCAAATATTTAATTATAAAAGTTTGAATTATAATTCATTACAATATACTCTAGTCTAATCAATAAATTAATCTTATTAGCCTTAATCATATGTTATTAAATTAAAAAGCATCTCAAGAAAATGTAAATGCACTATCATTTTCTTATTTTTTTCAATCGAAAATTAATATCCATTCCATAATTAATTGATAATTTAATCAATTTATACATCCTAATTAAATTTGATAATTCTTATTATTACTAACTTTAATGATTAAAAAAAATAATAAATATCATATTAATGAATTTTACTTTAATTCACGCTATCATCAAAACAACCTTTTGCATTTTCTATCAATCTAAAGATCATGTCATTTTATTCTTAAAATTTTTTATATTAAAAAATTAATTATTCTTGTTTTTAATTTTTTACATCGAGTTCTTCTAAATACTTAACTAAAATTTATATAAGACTGTATTAGTAATCATAGATTTCATGTAAATCCTTTTATTTACTATATGCTTAATCTTTTTAATCTTCCTTAAATTATTGGAAATACTTTGTATTGAATTTTATTGAATTGTGTAATCTTAATTGTGAATAGAGAATCATAAATAATTATTGAATACATTAAAGTAAATTATAAGATAGAAGTCGTTTTGGTTTTTTTATTCTCCTCAATAAAAAGCAAATAGACTCAATGGCCTTCTAAATGATCAAAATTTATCTTTAATTTAGCTCTTTCTGATTTGATAAGTTATAAAGATTAGCTTCATTCTAATGAAACAATTATAAAACTTTATCTACTTATTTTATCTCCACTTCATCTATCTTTTTTTCTGATATCCTTAATATCAGCTATGAATAAAATTATATATATTAGAAAATATCTAATTCTCTGGTAATAACTTATTCTTCAACTATTTATTATTATTAATCATTAACTTATTCTTCAACTATTTATTATTATTAATAATTACATTTTGTCTCAGATGTTCCTCCTCCTCGTAAGTTTGTTTTTTTATTCTTTTATATATCATCTTAAATTCTTTGTTTTTATATTGTTAAAATTTCATCTATTTTACATTGATTTTGTTTTATCCATCTTATATCATTGAATTCTATATTTTTAAACAGAAAATTGCAAATTTTAAGTCTCATTTTATTAATATTAAATAATGTGCAAAATTTATTAGAGGTTAAAATTGCAATAATAATACGTCTTATATTTATTTAATTATTTTATAAATGATTAATGAATAATTTTTTTAAAAACCCTTCAAACTTGTATGGATTTTTATTAATAATCATTATTTTGTCTATTTTAAAAATATATTCATATGTAAATTCAAAAATGATTCTGATCACATTTATTTTTGTGCAATTTTTTTATATTACAAGAATTAATTAAATCATATATATTATCACTTTTACATGATATAATTAAGTATCAAAAGGATTGATTGTTCTAAAAAATTTGGAAAATAATGAATGTAAAATAATTTAATTATGAAGAATATCTCACAATTATATTGTACTTATTTTTCTCTATAATTGATTAATAATTTATGTCGAAGAAAATTACGATTATCATAATTTAAAGAAAATGATGAATTACATTAAATTTGGTATGATAATAAATTTTTATAAAATAATTTATTTTTGAATATTTTCATGGAATACTACATAACCATAGGATTACTTTTATCAGTAGTAATAAGTTTGCCTGTATTAATTTGAATTATTTTAGATAACCTACAATATTTTTCCTAATGAAAATATATTTTTAAATAGTTTGGTTTATGACATTGAGGTATAAGGTGAAAATTTTGATGAAAAAAATGTAAATGGTTTAAATATTGAATTACTTAAAGAAATCAAATTAGAAAATTAATAACCTTATGAATTTAATGGAAAAGAAAAGTTATTTAGTTTAAATTTGAATGAAAATGATGATGATATAGATATTATGTTATTAAATAATAGAAGCATTGAGTGTTTATATCTTATTAAGAATTACATATAAGATGATGAAATAATTATGAGATAAAACTTATGTTAAATTAAGTTAAATTATTCTGATTGCTTTTAATTACACAAATTTGATCAATAAATCTATATTGTTTAATGTAGGTTTAATTAAAATAATACAATATTATAAATTCTAAATTAATCACAAGTATTTGATGAAATTATTATTCCAATTTAATGGTAATGCTAGTCAGATTCAATACTGAATAAATAATTTTTAATAGTATTCAATAAATAATGTTAAACAACTATTTTGTACTCAATTTAAATAATTAATTTATCTTTTACAGATTTTTTAGAATATGATTTAACCTAGATAAAAGGATTTTCTGAAAATAATTAATAAATTACTGATGTATTAAGTAATACTAAAGATTTTATATTAATAATTTATACTAATGAAGTATGGAATTTATAAATGAAATAAAAAAATATCAATTTGATCTATAAATCTTCAAAATTTAATATTAAGAAATTGCTGACTATTCAAAGACCCAATACAAAACATATTATTTTAGAAAATGAGGAAACTAATTATTGATTAAAATTGAAAATTACCAAAAAANAATAATAATACGTCTTATATTTATTTAATTATTTTATAAATGATTAATGAATAATTTTTTTAAAAACCCTTCAAACTTGTATGGATTTTTATTAATAATCATTATTTTGTCTATTTTAAAAATATATTCATATGTAAATTCAAAAATGATTCTGATCACATTTATTTTTGTGCAATTTTTTTATATTACAAGAATTAATTAAATCATATATATTATCACTTTTACATGATATAATTAAGTATCAAAAGGATTGATTGTTCTAAAAAATTTGGAAAATAATGAATGTAAAATAATTTAATTATGAAGAATATCTCACAATTATATTGTACTTATTTTTCTCTATAATTGATTAATAATTTATGTCGAAGAAAATTACGATTATCATAATTTAAAGAAAATGATGAATTACATTAAATTTGGTATGATAATAAATTTTTATAAAATAATTTATTTTTGAATATTTTCATGGAATACTACATAACCATAGGATTACTTTTATCAGTAGTAATAAGTTTGCCTGTATTAATTTGAATTATTTTAGATAACCTACAATATTTTTCCTAATGAAAATATATTTTTAAATAGTTTGGTTTATGACATTGAGGTATAAGGTGAAAATTTTGATGAAAAAAATGTAAATGGTTTAAATATTGAATTACTTAAAGAAATCAAATTAGAAAATTAATAACCTTATGAATTTAATGGAAAAGAAAAGTTATTTAGTTTAAATTTGAATGAAAATGATGATGATATAGATATTATGTTATTAAATAATAGAAGCATTGAGTGTTTATATCTTATTAAGAATTACATATAAGATGATGAAATAATTATGAGATAAAACTTATGTTAAATTAAGTTAAATTATTCTGATTGCTTTTAATTACACAAATTTGATCAATAAATCTATATTGTTTAATGTAGGTTTAATTAAAATAATACAATATTATAAATTCTAAATTAATCACAAGTATTTGATGAAATTATTATTCCAATTTAATGGTAATGCTAGTCAGATTCAATACTGAATAAATAATTTTTAATAGTATTCAATAAATAATGTTAAACAACTATTTTGTACTCAATTTAAATAATTAATTTATCTTTTACAGATTTTTTAGAATATGATTTAACCTAGATAAAAGGATTTTCTGAAAATAATTAATAAATTACTGATGTATTAAGTAATACTAAAGATTTTATATTAATAATTTATACTAATGAAGTATGGAATTTATAAATGAAATAAAAAAATATCAATTTGATCTATAAATCTTCAAAATTTAATATTAAGAAATTGCTGACTATTCAAAGACCCAATACAAAACATATTATTTTAGAAAATGAGGAAACTAATTATTGATTAAAATTGAAAATTACCAAAAAAGTTTACCAATCAATACAAATAACTTAATTTAAGTTGGTAAATTACCTTATTTTTTAGTATAAAAAAATTAATAAATTATATTAATTTAGTTAATATAATTAAAATCAGTCATCTCGTATAAAAATTCTGATTCATTATTCATCATTTCATTTAGTTAATTGTAATTGTCAACCTTTTAAGTTAATTTAAAATTATTTGATCCAAATTAACCAATTTAAAGCATTCATAATATGAAACTTTTTCATGAAGCATTAAATTTTAGCGATTAAATATGTTTATCATATGATATCTATAAAAGAAATTTTCCCCTGAAGATAAATAAGATTACAAAAAATGGAATCACATTATAATTTTTAAATTAATAAAGCATTTAAATTCCACCTTACTTACTTGGAATTATCTCTTTTAACAGAGTTCTTATTCTAAATAGGTTCAATGAACAATTGTTTATAGGCTTAATTTAAGATAACAGCATCATTAAATTGATATATTTTTCAAATGGTTAACCAATAAAATAATATTAATTTTAATTGCGTGAGAATGTAATTGAAATATTTTTTCTTTAACAGCATATGTATTTAACAATAATCTATTAAATTTAATAGAAATATATCAATTAAATCTTGATCAAATAAAAAAGAGCGTTTATTAAACCAAAAAAAAGATAATTAAGGCAATTAAATTAAATTTTTCAATAATATATTTACTTGAAGATTGTATTAAAGTCTCAATTTAATTTACATAAGAAACCTTTATCTTTGAGTAAATTTAATATTCTTTTGATTGTACAAGTTCCTTTTAATTTTATAAACAAGAAATATACATTGATGCTCATTCCATTATATATAATCATACTCATTATAACATTATAAAAATAACATTAAAAGAGAAAATTGTTTAAGTAAATAATGTACTTTAGAATCATTTTCTTATTTTCACATATTATAATGATTAATACTCTGCCAAATTATTTTTGTTCTAGATAGAAGAAATAATTCATCTTTACACACTTCCTACTTATAACTATACTATTTAATTTCCAATTTAATATAAAATACAAATGTCAATTTTAATGATTAAAGTTAGAAAAGCTGATTAAGGTTTCTTTTTATTGATTTATGATTTAAAAAATACAGCAGTAGAATCATTAATTTAAATTAATGCAATTGATGAAGAGGATAATTAATCTTTTGATTTTATTGATGAAAAGGAATATTTTTTTTCATATTAGAGACAATTATAAATTCAGAATTTAAATTAACCATGCTTCTTCCTAAAAGGATTAAAAGAAGGATAAGATTTTATTGAGGAAACTTAACTTATAATTTCAACTAAATCTGAAATTTCTAATGAAAATATAGATCTAGAATTTCATTTAATAATTATTAATAAAAATTATACTTTACAATTATTAAATTTAAGTTAAAATATTTTGGCAGGAGAGATTTTAAACTAAGAGAATATTTTTGGTAATATTGAAGAAGTTGAAATTATTGGATCAGAAAATATTTCTGTATATTAACCTTTAATCTTTAATAATATTTCAGCAATATGCAACTTTTATCAGTTTGGTATTTGTATTTATGATAAATCTATTTTAAGAAATATTTTTGATTCAAACACATTTATAAAATTTTCATAAGATTTTGTTTAATTACCTTTTTATATTGGCTTTAATAGTGAGGATTGTAGCCATGCAATTTATTTAAAATTAGATGAATCTCTCTACATGAATGAATTTAATTTCTGTCGCAATAATTAGATATAAAAATAAAATTATACAATCTCTAATAATGCTCACAGTAAAATCTTATATTTATTTTAGCTATGAAAATATTTAAATAAATAAATGATTTATAGATGACAGGGCTAGATAATGGTATTATTTTATTTTATTTCTAATACAAGCCCTTTTTAAATTCAGTCCTCTTAAATTCTTTCATAAATGTAGATTTTGATTTATTTGATGGAGCAAAGATTAATGATTTCACTTATTTCTTTCTCAATATTGGTTTTAATGTTATTGAATTAAAAGTTTTTAATGTTACTTAACTTGATCATCATAATGGAGCTATAAGTGATATACTCTACTAATAAAAATATAACCTCAATAATTTATTTGAAAAAAGTTAATTGATTTAAAAGAATTCTTCTAAATTATAAATTTACCATGTTTTAAAAATTAACAATAAATTTCAAATCAAATTTATTATTATTCTCAAAGATAACCTAGCTGTGCTTATGTAAATAATATTAGATTTGAATAATTATAATGAGACTATATTTGAATAATTGGGAATGATTCGGTATGAAAATAAAGCAATCTTCAGAAAATTGCTCTTTATTGATCTGAATTATGTGATTTTGGCTTTTTCATAAGATTAATATCGTTTTATTAATATATTTGATATAAATATATTAAAAAATAAAAACATTGACAGTATTTAAAAATTTAAGGATGATAATTATAATTATGTTGAAAGATATAATGAATCTTATTTTATAATAGTTGAATAAGTAAATGTCTAAGAACAAAGAGTACATCTAATTACACTTGATAAATTTAAGATTAAATGTCACGGAGAATGCTCTAAACCTTCATATATAAAATTAAGTAATCAAGTATCGCAAATCTTGATTGAATTGGATTTTTTAAATGAAAAATAAATCAATAAAGATAAGTTACAATCATTTATAGTTGTTTTTACTTTCATTTGTATAGTAATTAGATTATTTTGTAAAAAAGAGAAAAAAAGAAGGGAAAAATAAATCATTTAACATTGAAAATAAGAAGAATAAATAAAAAATTATTTATTATGTAAATCCCAATGGAAATTCTCAATATGA